GAGATCACCATGTGTGAACAGGCATCTACCAGCAGAAGATCCTTGCTGGGTCCTTCCCCATCTGATAAGGTGTGCCACCAAGGGCTCCCGTGTACTTACATCACTGGCGATGTCCCTGGAAGCCTTGGCAGACTTGATGGGAATGGCATCTACCCTCATGTCGTAGCCCTTCTTCTTATCCTCCTCCATCGCAAGCTTGTACAGTTTCTGAAAGAAAAACAAGTGTTCCCCTCAAACAGCTCTTCTTCCCCAGCCACAGCACCAACCACAGCTGGACACGTCACCCCAGCTCAAACACCCACCTCACTGAAGTTCACTTTGTTCTGCTGGGCAAGCAAAATCCCAGGGGTGTCCGGCATAATGTGGACGCTGGTTTTATCCTTCTCCCAGGCTGACGTGTACGCGCGCTGCAAAAGTGACAAGAGTGGGACATGAGAAGCACAGGAGCACGAGGCAGCACACTCAGAGAGAAAATCACCTCAAGGATCTGCAGCCAGGGGCCTCCACTTGCACTCACTCACAAACACCTTGCCTTGCCCAGAAGACTTCTTTATGCTTCCCCCTTTGCTTTCCCACACTGCACCCATCACTGCTCCAACCTCACCACAGAATCACAGCTCAACCAAGGATCAGAAGCCCCCACGCTAGACAAGGATGCAACATCCCCCTTGACAAACCCAGGCCCTGGAAGCAGGCAGCCCAGCACCCTGGGGAGGAAGGGCCTTCTTTCCCTCAGGCTGCACATGCCAGGAGTCTCACCTGGTCCATAATTGCAGAGTTGTGCTTGGCCAGAACCATGGGCATGGAGTCGGGGAGGCTGGTGAACCTGATGGTGTCCGGGTGTTGCCGGTACTTCTTGTCACTCAGGATTTGGCTCGCCCTCTTGTTCTTCTCATCATCCAGAGAACCACTTGGGGACCAACCAATGCCCCTCAGCCACAGCAGGTCAGACTTGTACACATTCTGAAAGGACAGGACACAAAGCAGCTCAGACACCTCCTCACCCCATGCAGCCAATCCTCCTAACAAGGGCAGCTCTGCTACCAAAACTCATTCCACCGCCTCATCCCACCCTGCACCATGAAAGGCACTCCTAGCCAGCTCAGCTGTCTCCACTTGCTCACCAAGCACAAGCATGTGACAATCAACCCCCAATACCTTCCCCTCCCCATCTTCTTAGTCTCTATATGAAAGACCAGACCTATTTGGCAATGTCCACCTGGCAGATGCACAAGAAATCCTTTATACCACATCACCTACCTCTCTTCATTCCAATTCCCTCTGCACACATGGTTTGCATCTGCCCAGTGCTGCTCCTCCAGAAGAAAACATTTTACTCCATTGCCCTTCCCCTGACACACAGAACTCCAGCCACCTACAGCAATGCTCTCACAGATTGCTCAAGGCAAAACAGGCCTTGGCTGTGAGCATAAAGTATGATCCCACACAAACATCATCCCTAACTATTCTTTATTAAATCTCATAAAAAAGGAAGGTTGGACTGATTAATTGTTTCATGATCTGTAAGATGGGTCAAGAGACTTTAATAAGGAAGGTTGAAATTGAAAATTTCTTTTCAAGAGAAACACAAGGGCAACAGCTTTTAAAACTGAAAGAGGTCCAATTTAGATTAGATTTTTTTGAAAAACTTCTTTCCTGTAAGGGTGGTGAGACTCTGTCACAGTTTGCCCATAGAAGTTGTTGATACCCCTTCTCTGAAAATGTCTAACAAAATGCTAGATGCGGCTTGGATCAACTTGGTTTAGTGGAAAATATCCCTGCACATTCCAGGAGGGATGAGACTAGAGGAGCTGTAAGGCCCCTTCACAGTGAAATAATTCAGCGACTCTATGCTTCAGCAAGATAATAAAGCCACAGAGTCTCCTTCTCATAGAAGCAGACTAGACTTATCCTTGTAACTGGGACCTTCCCAATTAAGAAACTCAAAAGAACAGACACTTCTTGTTTCCACACAATCAGTAAACAACAACTCACATCACTCTGAAGGTCGTACACTCTCCTGGCTTGTACAACATCATTCTGGTCTGGCAGGCAGGTCCACCGATGCAGAGGATGCTTGTAGTCAACGTCACTGACCAGCTCCTGACATTTCTTGGCCAATACAACTCCCAGCATGTCCACTGGGCTACTGAAGTGTGTCTTGGACTTCTCAAAAGCTTTCTTGTACTCCCTGTCACTCTGGATCTTGGCTACGTGCATGGACCACATCATCTTGGGATCATCCTCTATGTTCCGGGCCCCAATGTGGTGGCCGAGCTGCTTGCGGTAGCCTTCTTTGTACTTGTACTGTGGGGGAGAGAAACTCAGTCAGTTCCTGACCTGCTCTTCTTCCTCTGACACTGTTCTGGAACAGGTCCTCCCTGCAAGAGCTTTGCTAATGGAGTCTGGCGAGATCACCATGTGTGAACAGGCATCTACCAGCAGAAGATCCTTGCTGGGTCCTTCCCCATCTGATAAGGTGTGCCACCAAGGGCTCCCGTGTACTTACATCACTGGCGATGTCCCTGGAAGCCTTGGCAGACTTGATGGGAATGGCATCTACCCTCATGTCGTAGCCCTTCTTCTTATCCTCCTCCATCGCAAGCTTGTACAGTTTCTGAAAGAAAAACAAGTGTTCCCCTCAAACAGCTCTTCTTCCCCAGCCACAGCACCAACCACAGCTGGACACGTCACCCCAGCTCAAACACCCACCTCACTGAAGTTCACTTTGTTCTGCTGGGCAAGCAAAATCCCAGGGGTGTCCGGCATAATGTGGACGCTGGTTTTATCCTTCTCCCAGGCTGACGTGTACGCGCGCTGCAAAAGTGACAAGAGTGGGACATGAGAAGCACAGGAGCACGAGGCAGCACACTCAGAGAGAAAATCACCTCAAGGATCTGCAGCCAGGGGCCTCCACTTGCACTCACTCACAAACACCTTGCCTTGCCCAGAAGACTTCTTTATGCTTCCCCCTTTGCTTTCCCACACTGCACCCATCACTGCTCCAACCTCACCACAGAATCACAGCTCAACCAAGGATCAGAAGCCCCCACGCTAGACAAGGATGCAACATCCCCCTTGACAAACCCAGGCCCTGGAAGCAGGCAGCCCAGCACCCTGGGGAGGAAGGGCCTTGTTTCCCTCAGGCTGCACATGCCAGGAGTCTCACCTGGTCCATAATTGCAGAGTTGTGCTTGGCCAGAACCATGGGCATGGAGTCGGGGAGGCTGGTGAACCTGATGGTGTCCGGGTGTTGCCGGTACTTCTTGTCACTCAGGATTTGGCTCGCCCTCTTGTTCTTCTCATCATCCAGAGAACCACTTGGGGACCAACCAATGCCCCTCAGCCACAGCAGGTCAGACTTGTACACATTCTGAAAGGACAGGCCAGGACACAAAGCAGCTCAGACACCTCCTCACCCCATGCAGCCACTCCTCCTAACAAGGGCAGCTCTGCTACCAAAACTCATTCTGCTGTCTCCTCCCCCCCTGCACCATGAAAGTCACTCCTGGCCAGCTCAGCTGCCTTCAGCCTGTCTCCACTTGCTCACCAAGCACAAGCAGGTGACAAGCAAACCCCAATACTTTCCCTTCACCTTCTTCTGCACATAAATCTTAGTGTCACCTGGAAAGTCCTGCCCCATGTTGCAATGTCCAGGTTAGAGAGGCAGGAGAGGTGCTTTAGAGAGCATCACTGATGCTCGTCCTACTACATGTCTCTGCACACATGGCTTGGCTTTGGCCACTGCTGGTCCCCCACAAGAAAACATTTGATTACATTGACCTTCCCCTAAGTTACAGAACTCCAGACACAAAATTCCTTCCCCTAAATGCTCAAGGCAAAACAGGACTGTGCTGTTACCATAAAGAATGACCTCACACTAACTTCAACCTGACTGTTTAAGACACCAACCCCCAGCCAGGTAGCACAGCCAGAACATAGTCCTACAGAATCAGTGTGGATTATCCTCCCCACCTGTACTTTCCCCAACAAAATAACAGAACACAACAGACCCTGCTGGTTTCCACACAGTCAGTAAACAACAACTCACATCACTCTGAAGGTCGTACACTCTCCTGGCTTGTACAACATCATTCTGGTCTGGCAGGCAGGTCCACCGATGCAGAGGATGCTTGTAGTCAACGTCGCTGACCAGCTCCTGACATTTCTTGGCCAGTACAACTCCCAGCATGTCCACTGGGCTACTGAAGTGTGTCTTGGACTTCTCAAAAGCTTTCTTGTACTCTCTGTCACTCTGGATCTTGGCTACGTGCATGGACCACATCATCTTGGGATCATCCTCTATGTTCCGGGCCCCGATGTGGTGGCCGAGCTGCTTTCTGTACCCAGTTTTGTATTTGTACTAATTTAATGCAGAAACTACAATTACCATCTCCTTTGAAGCTGCAATTTCAATTTCTATTTTAATACACTTGTTAAAATCTTTGTATTAGTATTTTTTTCCCCAAAATTTTCCAACATTTTTAATGGTCTTATTGCACTTCCAGAAGATATTAGCTGATTTTTAAATAGTTATCTACTGTCTCATTTTAAGTTATTGTATTTATTTCTATTTATGCCATGAAGAATTGTACCAGCTTTATTATCACTATTATTTTCACTATGACAGACTTACTTCACTAGCTATGTCTCTAGATGCCTTTGCTGACTTGAGGGGTATTGCATCCACAGGGAGGTCATAGCCTTTCCTCTTCATCTCCTCATATCCCAACTTATATTTTTTCTGTTGGAGAAAGATTCAAAGGAACTGTTAAAAATCAAGCTCTCTAGAGGTTTTCAATACTACAACCTTCCTTTCTTGCTTACTAAAAATAAATTACAACACCCCAAGACTGTTTCATTAATCAAATTTAATTCCTTAATTTGCTTTTAATAATTTGTATGATGATATAAAATATTTCAAAATAACTATCTCTATGTTTACTGATTAACTCATTCAAGACCAAAATTTTCTTTTACTTAACATACTAACCTGAATGATTCGCAGTCTTCTACTGAGGTAAAAAATACAGCCCCATGATTTTCTACACCCAATTTCAATTGCAATTGTTTTTGTCTTTCTGAGTTCTCTTAACACTTATCTTTGCATGAAGTCTGTATGTGTTCCATTATAACCAGAAATTGGATGTACATTACAAAAATCTTTGTAATTCTAAAGTGGCAATTCAATTTAATCAGACATTTTACAGCTTGACTAAAAAGTGCTGAACCCATATGTACAATGCTTCCATTTTATATTTCAATAATTTCACTCAGGCTTCCCTGTGCATATAAATTTTCATGGGAAAAGATCACAGGTGTGTTTACAGCTGTTAGAGTTGCAGAATTACTCTACTGCATTTTAAACTAGACCCACAATATGTAATTCCAAATTCCATTAAAAAAAATATTGTAGACACGCACTTACATCACTTGTGTTAATTACGTTTGATTTAGCCAGCAGAATTTCAGGTGTATCAGGCATGATATGAACCTGAGTCTTGTCCTTGTTCCAAGCTTCTCTATAGAGTATCTGTAGAGAGACAAATAAAACTTGTCTGATAAAGGGCTCACGTGCATAGCAGTAAATTCAGCTTGTCTTTTCTCTACAACAGCAAAGCAAAGATGTACCACTCAAGTGTGAGTATTGTAAGCAACACAAGATATTAAAATGAAATAATACCATTTCTTCTTACTGAAATATCACCTATTTTCTTATTTACATCCTTGAAATGTCAAGGAAACAACATTGTGACAATACATTTACATACTGCACAGTTAATGTCTTGTTTGCAGTTATTACTGAGTAAGTTACACAGTACTGAAGACTTTGATCTTCTGAACAAGACATAGTACTTTGTGACAGCAGAGCAGTAAGGCACTGATTGTCAGCATCTGGTATTTGTGTATTTTAAGCACATATTCTGATATGGAGAACTTTTTAACAAATATATATTAAAGTTTAATTGAATCATTGAATCATATTCTGTCTCTAGAGGAAACTTACATCACTTCTATTTTTGGCATTAGATTTTGCTAGAACAATATCCATGGCATCTGGGATACTCGTGAACTTAATAGTGTCTGGGTGCTGCCGGTACTTCTTCTCACTCAGTATTTCAGAAGCTTTTTTATTCTTTTCAGTCTCCAATGCTCCCAGTGGACTCCATCCAATACCTTTGAGCCATTGTAGATCTGACTTATACAGATTCTGTTAAGGAAAAAAATCAAAACCATACTAGTTTATTTCCCTGGTCATTTATTATACCATATATTTTCATTAAAAGGTAACCTGTTATTTTAGCTCCAATCTGATCTATACTGACATCAAAAGAGAGCCATCAAAGATACTTTTCACTGAGTAGTAAATGTCTTACAAAAAATAAACTATTTCAATCCAGAGGAAGCTTACATCACTCTGTAGTTCGTAGACCCTCTTTGCCTGGGTGACATCATTCTGGTCTGGCAGGCAAGTCCAGCGGTGCAGTATCCGTTTGTAGTCTATATCACTAACCAATTCCTGGCATTTCTTGGCCAGAAGGAAGCCTAACATGTCCACAGGCATATTAAACTTTGTCTTCCACTTTTCAAAATCTTTCTTGTACTCCCTCTCACTCTGCATCTTAGCTACTTGCATTGACCACAACATCTTGGGATCGTCCTGTAAGCTGCGGAAGCCAATGTGGTGTCCCTGCTGCTTGCGGTAACCTTCCTTGTACTTGTACTGAAATGAGAAGATTCCATTATTGGAAATACAGGAAGAAACAGACAGCACTAAAAAATGTAAGCAAAATATCCATATATTTATATCCATATCCATATATATATATGTCCTCAGTTCAATGCTTCTCATTGCCAATGAAGTCACAATGTTGTTATGGCATCTCAGGTACACGTTTAGTAGCCCCTTGGTGGCTCTAAGAATGGTCTCCTGTGCCATCTGATGGATACAGGTCAGAACTCTCAAAGGCTGACACACTGAAATATTTGGATTTCTAAATAATCAGCCATGAAAAATGCAGATGCTTAATCACTGGCAACATTTCCTAATGATTACTGAAATGTCTTACATAAATGCAGGAGTTGTGTTCATACCAAGTTACGTGTCACCATGTCTAGTTCAGAGCTTTAAAAGTTTCTCACTATAGGCACTGGGATCATCTAATTGGATCAAATTTGCTAATTTTGCTAAATAGCTAAATTTGCTAGTGCTTGGAACATTCAAAAGAGCAGACAACTCATAACTTTGCATCAGTAGGCATTTCATGGGTGGACCACAATCTTTGGAATCACCAAGATGCTAGAGCAACCTTTCTTAAATTGTTTTCTTCACTGTTAACAACAGATCAGGAAAGAGTCTGGTCAGCAGCTCTGCTTTTTACTCCAAGCCCCACCCCAGCAGAGGTGCATCTTGCTCCAGTGCAGCTCTGCAGTTACAGCA